CAACGCCCAGCCCCGGCTGCCGGCTCGCACCCACCCCCCCGCCGCGTTAGAGCAACGCTTTGCGTGTCTTGACCGAATGAAAAACCTGCGCCCGGGGCGGGGGGGAGAAGAGGGCGCGGGTCAAGATTCCTACAGAGCAGGGGGGTTGACGTACAGGGCTTGTTCTAAAGGCTCTGTTTTGAGACGCAAGACGTGCACGGCCTGCACCGGGGCGGGCATTTAAAGAGAAAGTAGGGAAGAGAAAAGAGGTTTAGTTTGTTTTTTTCCCTCCTGTGTTCTCGAATTATGACTTCGGTACAATCTGGGGGAAGGGTACAGGATTTTGTACATGGAGACATTCTACTACTACACAGTACATATTGCAAGACGCTGAATACTATATACATACATCAGTTGCATCAAATTAGCGTATGCAAGCTGTAAAAGTAGTTGCACACAAATAATCCTCAGTTCCAATGATAAAATAACATCATTACAAGTCTCGTATTCTCATTTTCACATTATACATTTTCTTACAGGCACAGCTGTATATACAGTGGCTATTTCCATAACCGGCTCTATGTTCCAAAACAGCCCTTCTGAATTAAAAGATATTCTGGAAAAGATCTGTGTGTTGCTGAATTTGACTTAGTATTTCTTCGGTGCAGCTGCAGATGCTGTCTGCAGTGCCAAGTCCATTAATTCTCCACGGCTCATCCAAAAAGTCAAGATGATAGCAACATGAATCCAGCTTTGCCGATGTATTTCAAAAAAACATACAGTAGCAATTCATGTCCATAGGGTCATTCCAAGGTCAGTTTGGGAAGAAGTGTAAGCTCGGACCACAGCAGCAGCTTTACTGTCTTTTTAGGACAAGTTGGGGAAAACGTACGCAGTAAGTTCATACTGAGTAAGGATTTTCCAGTTCAAAAAATGAATTTTACTACATGAGAAATCAAGGGGTGAAAATACAAAGCAATTAATCACAAGATACTATTTAAAACAATCTTCAATATACAGAGTACTTATTCCACTTGACATTTCCTTAAGAGGAAAAGCCAAATTACATTCTGCCAATAACAATGCAGAGAAAGTAGCTTTTCTGGTACCTCTCAAACAAGTTACTCCTCACACATTCATGTCATTTCACAGAATTTTTTAACTGCCGCCAATAGTGAGCTGAAGTCCACTGATACACTGACACATTCAAAATGGTCATGTGAAATTACGTATAAAATATTATTTCTGGTATCTGTCCGTCTTCTATTGATGTACCATTGTTGTTACCTGGTGAACTATAAAAGACAAAGCATGTTTTGCTAGCAGTAGGAGATTCGTGGATCACTTTCTTCAAACCTTTTGTCCCATAATGGGAATCAGGACCCTGAAAAACGTCAGAAGAGATTAGCAACTGAATGGAAGTGGGCAGCAAGACCCATAAAATGTTGAAGTTCAAACACTACTGACAGGTTATTTTAGTAGTATAAAATTTCTGTACCCACATCATAGAAGTTATATACAAAATCACAGACAACAGAAGTGCCCTATGTCTAAATAACATAGAAAAAGTTTCTGACAGCAGATTTAAACCACTTGATTTTATCCAACTAGTAAAGAATAAATGTTTTCTAGTATTTCTCCTTCTCCTACCGCTTGTCTATATTTTCACTTAGTTCCCTGCCTCAGCTTCTTTTAATGTGCAACATTTTTTTCCAACCCACTCAACTCTGATTTCTGTGTAGGGGATTATATTTAAAAGAATATTAAAAGATTTTTGAGAAAACATTGAATAAATAAATTTGTCCATAACATTAAGGGCAGACTTTCCCAGAACAAATAATTCTTTCCTGTATTTCAGCACTAGTATATAAAAAGTGATTAAAAAAAAAGCTTTCTGTTTTCTTGACTCTAGTCAGTGGTTAGGATACCCTTGATAAAAGAAATCAAACTTGTATTTTGATAGAGAGCTGCCAGATTAGATATTCTACATAGTGCTTTTGCCCACACAGAACCAGTGACTTCCATGAGGATTCACTCTAACTCTTACATCAAGCCAGAAAGTGGGAAGGCACAAAGGATCCAGTTTTGGATTCCGTGCTGTGGCACAGAAGAGAGGTAGCAGTCTTACAAGTTACTGTGCAGTTTAACTACATCCTTCTTTAGTGCTAAACTTAAAACAAATTCAAGATCTAGGAGACACTTTCCCATCAGAAGACAGATAAAAGAACAACATTTGCATCAAAATAACATTTTCTTCTGTACAGTTAGGCATTCTTACTTTCAACGTTGCACAAGCTGTGTAGCAAACTGTTGGCAAAATCTCTATAGGTTCTTTGAACATAACTCTGAATGTACTGGCTGTTCCATCACAACTAAATCCAGTATCATTTTGTCCTAGTGTTTGATTCTTCTCATAATCAATTATCTGTACAAAAACATGAAAACAGTATTTTTAGGTTTACAAGCTTGAGAAAGATTCTTATTGTATGCATGTTAGAAGATTACAAGCAAACACTTGCCTACTCCACCCAGTTTAATTGCAAGGATAGTGCAATCTCAGAACTGGAAAGTACGTGTAATTTCCTGATACCATTAGGGTTGACCCAGCAGCATGCCAAATGATGGCTTGCAAGTTTTACACAGGCTGTCCAATCTGTGGGCTAGATTCAACACTGCTCCAACCAGGCTATAGTCTTTGCTTGGGAGATGAAGAACAGCTCTTAGACCGTTAGCTTCTGACTTTCATATACTACATATAATCTTGTACTTGGATTTGCTGATCTTCGGACACCTACACAGCCCACGAGGGAAGCACGTTTGCTGGCCGTGACTAATTCAGAAAACAAGTTTTTACAGATAATGTAAGCAGTCAATGATACATTCTTAAAAGAAAACAACAACTTGCGACGCAATGTTTTATACAATTTATTTCTATTCTAGCTTCAGTATAAAAATTACACTCAGACTACATATTATTTCTCTTGCCTTCAATTTTAATGATGAATAGGAATCACTAGCTAAGATGTAGTAATAGCAGATACCTCACTTCTCATTTTGGATAGCAATTCTGATCCATGCTGCCGAACACCTCTTGCAGAAGTTGGATATTAGAGCTTTAGAGTAACATGAACACTTCTCATTATTACTGCGCTAACAAGAATCCTATCAATTTTAATATTTTATTATTAAATTGCCATATAATTTTTAACATTGCATATATGAGATGAAGCCCTATTCTAGGCAAAATGTGCTCCAATTTTTTTTCCCAGCCACAATCAATAGAAATATTAACAATTATAATGCTGAAGTCCTAAGCCCCTTTCACATAAAAGATGTATTTGCAATATACGTTAGCAGTATTTTAAGACAAGCATTAAATGTTTTACTCTCTGAAGCTCTGCTAGTACTGATGCAGGTCCAAGAAGAATGGTAGAAACACAGGACTTACATACCTGTCTGAAAACCATTGTGACAAGAAAGTTTCAGATTCATGAGGAATTGGGGATAGTTCCAGAATAAAGAGAACCTGCATAAGATGGATGGCCTTCATCTGAACCATAAAGGTACATTAGCCTTTCAGTTTGGATAAGAAGCATGTTTTTCAAGTGAATCTCTTGATCATTCCCATTTAATATGCTTTGGTTTGCCTTGCAAGAACTAAACTCTTTTGAGATAAAATAAATCCAGCAAACATGCTGAGGGAGCACACTAAATGCTCTCATCTGCTAACAGGAATTTAGCTGAGAGGATCAAACAACAGCTAGTGCAAAGTAAAAATCCCCAAATACGTATAGTATAGCTGCTAGGTCCTCCGTACCAACTCTTTTGTTCTAAAGATCCAGTCTAGTGCACTATGCTACTCATTTACACAGATGTATAGTTTGAGAAAACCAAACTGATGGCATTTCAAACAGAGAAATTTGCAAGAGAGCTTTTAAATTGAGGAATGTGGAAAAGCCACCAAATTCCTTCAAAACCTCATCTGAGATACATTCTGTTTGGAATATCATAACACAACATTTTCTAATTAAGAGACAGACACAAAATTCCTATCCTTAAGTACAGGATGGTCAAAGAATAGTAATCATCAAATAGGAAGCAGAAGACAAATAAACTGTCATTTAAATAGGATGCCCAGAAATTAACCGAAACAGCAGTTCCAGCACATGCTAGAAGTCTATGAAACAAGATAGAGACAATGGAATTTCTGTCCCTAAATGACGTCACAGATTCTTTCTTTCACAAAATTTGCCACACACCTAATAAATCAATGTGATGCAACAGTACCAGGTTATGAAATACACAGCACAGAGTAAAACTGCCAGTCACAGAATGCTAATACCTTGTTAGAAAGCTTAGAATCAAATCAAAACTAATCTCAATAAGAAAGAGAATTCAAATGGACCGAAATTCCGTACTTAAAAAGGAAAAAATATAGTGCTGGATCAGTATTACTAAAAGACAATCCTGACCACAACATGCTAAGAGAGATCAAACAGGTTACAAGAGCAGGAAATACAATTTTAGTGGTGTCTTCAATTACCCGCTCAGACAGGGCAAATGTCATATCAGGACATGAAGCAGGGGTGACATTTTTAGATGCTATCACTGGCCATTTCATGAGCTTGCTAACCAATTGCTCAGTAGGAAGAAACGCAACCCTTGATTTGGTACTGAGTGATGAGCAGGATCAGATTCAAAATTTCATAATGGAAACACTATGTAACAGTGTTCATAATACACTTAAGAGTCAACACTCCCACGTGAGCAACAAAAGCAAATCCACCACAGCTGTGCTAAATTTCAAAAAGAGAAAAATGAGGAACCTTATTCAAAAGAAGCTAAAAGGAGCAATTAAGAACATCAAATCTTTATAAGAAGCATGCAGACTACTGAAGGACATCACATGCCCAAGTACAGTATCAGTACATATCACCTATTAGGAAAGGCTTGAGAAAAGGGGAAAAAAGCTGGCATGGCTGATCAGCAAAAGGCTATTACTGGAAATAAACAAACAAAAAAGGGCATCCTGTAGTAATATGAAGTTGTGTCCAGATTGAAATAGAAAGGTTCAAACTGACAGATTAAAATGTAAAAAATACAATTTAGCAGGCCAAAAGGTTTAGGAACAGCTATCTGAAAGCATCAAAACCAATGTTAAATCATTGTTTTAACACAGCAGTAGCAAAAAGCCCTATAGACTCTCTGGTGGGCTAAACAGCATGAAGATATAAGAAGAG